TGGTAAAATAAGTAATAATAATAAAATAATTAAAATGATTTCAGAGGCATGAACGCTAGCAGCTTGTGGGTAATGTAATTCGATAGTGTAACGTGAGCTGCATGTTCCACGAGTGATTTGCAACTTTTTATAGTGCGTATAGTAGTTAGACATGGTTCAATAGACAATAAAATTGAATTATAAATAGATGTATACTGTTACGACTTCAGAGCTATTTAGGATAAATGAATGTAGTTTCGTGTTACAATTTGAAGTCATTCTAGAAAGAAAAAAATGGTAATTTCGATTTTTTTTTTTTTTTTGGGGGTTACAAGGTCGGTCAAATTGACTAATCTCGTTTTGAGATAGGGTAAAGAAAATAACAGATAAACTATAAAGTTTTACTGAAAAAACGTTTGAAATGCATAGTAAATGAATTTCGTAAGTATTTAAATAAATCTTATTGATGCTTATGAATACGACTTGGTTTTCTATTTTCTATTATGTTTCCTTGCATTTCCTTCATGTTATCTCAGAAAATCAGTTGCAATAATGAAACTCTTTTACATTTTTCATTCAATATCTTACAAGGGATTTCAGCAATACTTTCATGTATGATAGCGTTCAAGTCTCTGGATTTGGTTGGTCAAAGTGCACATCTTATGATCCTTTTTTACAGTTACATTTAATTAAACAACTATATTATCAATACATGTCAACAAATTTAGCATCAAAAGAGAGATTATAATTAAAGTCTTAATATTATTTATTATTATATAATTTTAATATTATATAATGTTCAATTTCAAATGAAAATTTTAAAATAAATTCTCACTCTCTACTTCTCTCTATCACTTGACATTTCTTTTCTCCAAATTGCCCACTTTAGATTTTCTTTTGACTTCTATATGATCATTTGAGTTTGGAATAAATTACACACTTACACTTTAGATATTGCTAAGCCAAAATGTAAATTTATAGCCTCCAAACTTTTTGTGTTACCGAGATGTAAACAAGAAAGTCAAATCCACATTGCCCTGTCATATCCTGTCTTTCAAAAAATGTCATTAATTCTCTTAGATATTGGATTATTTATAATTGTCAGAATTTAAAAATGTGACTTTTGCCAATTGTTAAAATAAAAAGGCTTTTACTTATATTTCTTAACAGTATATATACATACAATGTTGTTGTTGGGCTTAGGATTCTTCTACAGTAGGTGTCTGTGACTTGTTAGGGATAAATTCAACAATAAATAAACAGCACACACTTAACTTGTTTCCAAATTAATATATATATATATATTCAGAACAAGTTAAATCTATGTACAACAAATTCTTCAACACTATAGATATTACAGGCATATCATAAATACTATATATGTAGTTCTCTCCTTCTTGTCAAAATTCCACTTAGGCCTATTCAGTGACTTTAGAACAATGTTCTCTATTACTATCACACTAGTATTCTGTGTGATTCATTTACAGTTGTGGTGCGAGTTACTATAATCATTTGGTCTGAAGATTCTCTGCTCCTTTTGTCATAGTGCACTTAGGTTGATTCAGTTACTTTAGAACAACACTTTGATGGAATAAATTATCTTCTTTTCTACCGTTAATCTTATTTTAACATATTAAACGTTAGGCTTATCACTTCTATGGTACTTAACTTTTCCTTTTGTAACTTTACTTTCTTCTGCTGTTATCTGGTTGTGCTTCCCGCTCGTCTCACGCTATTTATATCTTTATCACCTAATCATCTATCTGCCTTCTATATTATCAACATCAATGTATCACACATGCTTTCAATAGTCTCTATATCAATGAATTATTAACAAAACTTCCTATAATCCTTTTAATTCTTATTATAACAAAACTAAACAATAATAAAATATTCACTCACAAAAACAAATCAGTCAATAACATCTAAAATAAACAGTCTTTTATATCATGACAATAATCAATAGAAAGAGAAGAGTCAAATATACTGAATTGCTATGAGGCTAGCTCGTTCAGATGACAGGTTTTATAAAATTCAGCCTTATTTTCACTGTTTGCCATTGGAGTTCAACTTGGCCAGCTAACACACTTTTTATTTAATCTGTGTATAGGTTAGTTAGAAAGCCAGTTAAATTGTGATAGTTTTATTTTGTTCACAATAATATTTTGTGTTCTGAGTTGCATATTTAAAATAAATAATAATTTTTCTGAACACCAATATCATTACAAAAAAGTAAGCTTAAGTTACTTTGTTTTTGAGATGACCAAAAGACAAAACCCAAACATTTGTACTAAATTTTGTTTTTATGTATATTTTTCATTTGTTGTTATAAAAGGTACTTATTAGAGTACATAAGAAGACTTGTGTAATGTTAGATTAAATATGGAACCACATGAAATATTTTACGAATGCTTGCATTTTTCTGTATTTATATTTTAGTTCTTTTCTTGCATCACTGTTTTAATTAGTTTAACTAAATGGGTATGATTATAAAAGTTTCTAACAAGTTTCATATGTATATTAATTACTGCACATCTGATCAAATTTTGTATTAGGTCATCAAGAAATTAATATTGCATTTTGGAACACTTTCATTAACCACCCCTTATGTATAATAGTTAAATGAACTGCCTAAACGTCACATTAGTGTAGCCTATATATAGTGTAAAGTTTAGTACACTCTTATCCCTGATAGTGATGGCACATGACGAGACACAAATTTGGCATGTAATGCTGTTTGAATACAAGAAGGGAAACAACGCCTCTGTAGCCACAAAGAATAACAAAGAAATTTATGGAAATGTTTTGAATGTTCGTAAGTGTCAATGATGGTTCAGCAAATTTTG